GCTGGCTTTATCGCAAGTTGCAGGGGGTAGCTGTAGAGAGGGAGAAGGAGATGGGGGTGTGTGGGGGGGGGGGGGGGGGGGGGGGGGGAGGAATGAAGGACGCCAGCCATTGGGAGATGATGAAGATGGCGGGAGACGATGGAGGGTGGTGGGACACAGGAAGGTGAGTGACACTGAAAATTATAGGTAAATATGCAGATATGAGGATCTGTATATGTCTGGGGTAAACATCAGACGTTCCACCTCACCACGGGGCAGGCAGATATGCTGGAGGTGGACAGAAATTCCCCCCAAAGCAGGACCCCGGCTGACACGTCAGGATGCGCTCGCCTCCCCGCGGCTAATCTGCCGGCCTTTGTGCCCCCGTCACGCAGAGCGGACAGGAATCTCTTCTGAATCACACCCTTTTTACAGAAGGACCCCTAAGGCAGGGACCTTCCAAGTTCCACACACCTTGACGCCTTTGCAGAGAGAGACAGCCCCTTTGAAGTCCCCCTCCCCCCAAAGCTCAAGATGGAAGCTACCTTTTTCATTTTTGCATTGACTCTATGTGTCCTATATGCCAGCCCTCTGTATCGTGTCCAGCTGCCCTGCTGTGACTATTCCCCATCAGACATCTGTCCAGGTGTTCATAACTGTTATTGCAGCAAGAGACTTTCCACCAGTGAAGCGAATGAAAACCATCTCTTGCACAACACCTCCGCAGCGTATCTCCATATCTCACTCCGTCAGACTCAGACCTCCCCTGGCTTCACCATGACGATGTTAAAGCTAACAATTAGTAGCTGTTACGGTCTTGAGGAATGAATTATTTTACAAGCAGAAGCCAAGCTTATCAGAAATAGTAAATCGTAAGTGTGTGTGTGTGGGGGGGGTGGGGAAGTTGTCATTGCAGTCAACAAAGCTATGTGCCTCAGGGGTAAATCGTTAGCCCCCCCCCCCCCCCCCCCCATTGGAGGATGGTGTCGGTTGTGAGGTCATAGCTCATTAGGCCCTGTGATTGCAGACAAATAACATAACCCCCTCACCCCCCAATTCCCATGGTGCCCACACACTTCTGGTGCTCACACACTCGGACTGTAACCTGCCTTCATCTAAAATATTCACAAACGCTATTTTACAACAGCCATTCTTCTCCTGAAGTGAAGGACAGCCCAGTCCTTCAATAGTACGTTGATTTTTTATTTTTTTTGGAAATTCCTCTTAAATGCAGATGTTTCTCCTAATGTTGGTCATGCTGCGGACGCCGCTGGAGGACACAGCAGCCGGACCCTCCAGGAACAGGAAGCCAGAGCTGTTCCTTTCCGGTCCACAGCCTTCATGACTTGGCTGTCCCACACGAGGTGCTGATCCGCGAGGCTCATGTCATGGGAGCACAGGATATCAGGCCAGACTCCAGGGTGTTTGGAATGCTACAGGAGGCTCGGCCCATGGTCCCCTCCCACACGAGAGACTGATGTCACAGTGGAACATCATTTTGGGAGAAAAAATCAGTTTCAGGCAGTCAGTGCCTAAACCAAATGGATGCAAAACAAAATATGAAACATATTACTGATAAAACAGCTACAATTGCATAAAAAAATCTGTTAACTGTCAAAGCAACATGACAAAGGGCAAGGAAGAAATAGACATTTATACTATACACACATAAATGAGCTGCAATGGGAAATCCTGGGTGGGCCTAAGCACAGCACTGCCATCTGCTGGACAGCAGAGGTAACTGCCATGGAAACTTTCGGAGGAAAACTCCTGCAGGGCATTCTGGGTGACTGCAGAGCGCAGGTGGTTCCCATTCATAAAATTAAAAGGCTGGGGCCAAGAAAAGCATTTTTTCCTGTTTTACTGTTTATAGCCCAACTAAACAGATGAGAAAGTCTAGGAACCCGTTAAACTCAACTTCTTATGCCCATTTTTTTGGATAAGCATTTACTGATCAGTTAAAGGAGCGAGGAATGGCCGATGTATTAAGTCATTTGGAGTTTACGGACATATTCAGTAAAAAAGGTCCAAAAAACAAATATTAGAAAGATTAGAAAATGCATGGGATGTTGAAAAATCGGCATATGACGCATGTCACCTTCATGTAACATTTAAGGTCTTCCGCAAAGGCTGTGTTACTGGAAACTCTTCGGCAAAGCCTCTCCCATCTGTAAACTCCAGGGGGCAGCAGCCTCACACCTGCAGTCCTTGGAACCTGGGTGACGCCCATTCTGGGTGCTTCCTCCCCAAGCTGCTGAAGCATGACACCTCCTTGGTTATTTGGTGTCAAAAAATGCTACATCGACAGTTTAATCTAAGAAATAATTAGCCTAATAAATAATTAGGCTAATGAATACAAAAATAATAAAGTAATGAGATAAAACACTACCATATGTTCCTGGCACAGATTTATTATTACAAGGATCTCATAATTCAGTGCTGGACAGCCAAGACAAACACTATTTAATGTCTATAAGTAGGGGCTGAGGGGAGGGGGGCCGGGGCGGGACTGTTCACCTTCCATCCCGTCTGATGGCTGAAGGTATTCTGGCAATGGGCTCTTTAGCACTAGTTGAGGGAAACGGCCTTTTCACCACAGAAAATAGTGACCCTTCCATGAAGGTCAGTTTGCTTTGACAGCTTCCTCAGCAGTGGGAGCTGAAGGTCGACCATGCAGGGTTCTCTGTGTTAATCTGCGCCACGGTTGTCCATCATGGAGGTTGGGGGGGAGAGCGACTGTGGCATGAACCTCCAAACCTGCCCCCAAAGGGACCGCAGTGATATTCCAGGCCCTGGGTATGAACAGCACCACCCCTGGGACAGAGAGAGAACAATGCTCCAATGTTGAAGACGGCATGTTCATCTCCATTCTGCTACTCTGGGTGTCTGTGCTTCTATGCCGAGTAGGGCTGGAGTCAGATTCCAAAAGTGTTTAACACTAGTGAATGCACTGAGACCACGAAGCAATTTCACAATGCAGAAAATATGCCGAACAAATAATCCTCCTATGAGGGAATTGTCATCCTCCCCCCGCAATGACATTTTTCCCCATGATTTTATTACCCCTCCACTGAATTGCTCCATCATAAATGTCAAAGGTCGAGAAAGAACACAGCGGTTTATAAGGGCCCCCCAGGGCTCTCTCCGTTGGAAAGGTCAAACAGGAATACAAAGCCCATCCAGAAGGGGGCAGTCAAACACAACACTTATAGGCTAGGGAAAGGCCTGCAAAGCTGCACACAGGCTACAATTTCACATTAATCATTATAATAATTTACAATCATTTATAACATCATACAGGTTGAGACACTAAGGCTGAAGAGCACATAACCAGGTAATAATAATAATAGTATTAATAGACATTTTTCTATGGCATCTTTCTTTCACTAGGGTTTTAAGTTGTTGTAGTCTGTTTTCAAAGTAAAACACGCCCCCACCCCCTGCCAGGGGATGTACACACCAGTTCACCTGTGGAGGAGGAGGGTATTAAATGGCCCTGTTTTACTGATTATGGTTTGAGCTGAGGAGGGGTCACAACATGGTGGCTAATGTATGTAGCATAGTCTATTCATATTGTGATTGTTTTCTTTCTACACATTTCTATTTATTTAGACTTATTTTATTTTATATTGTTCTTGTGTCTCTGTGTCTTTGGGTGTTGTGGCAGTCATCACATAAGCAATTTCCTCCAGAATCAATAAAGTTTTCTGATTCTGATTCTGAACACCGCGACTGTTTTGATGAGCAACTCGGGACTCAATACTGGCATCTCTCCACAACAGACACGGCGCTACAGCAGTGCACTTCTCAGTGCACAGGGGTCTCCTATAGTTTTTTTGGTTCTGACTAAAGGGTTCCTCTTGCTGGCTCATGAACAGCATTTCTATGAACCGGGCCACTGATATTTTTTTCATTAGGAAAACAGCGCCCTCTGCTGTCAACAATGGTAAACATCGCTCTCATCAATGATCCTCCTTCAATACTTAATTCCAGATGTTCAACATGAAAGGGAAAGGTATCGTGGCTGGAGACGTAATTGGTCCCCGAGCCTATCTCTGGAGAAGTAGCATTCGCAAGCTACTGAGTCTGGAGATCTTTCTATGGGATAGGAAGCTCCAGACAATGTAGCAACACCGCAGCGACAACATTATTTGCACCAATTGTGGGCGCATGCGTATTACTGATACCGGTCGGCGGCGTTATAGTAATGCAGTTTGCGCATGCGCAAAATGGCGCTTGTGATGCGCTAATCGGTTTGGAAATTAACAGTGAACTGTCACTGCAACACTATCCATGCAGGGGCGTAGAGCTAAGTAGTTGATTATGTATTAAAATAGTTCAGCGATGTATCTCCTGTGCACGATCGCGGCTTCCCTAATTTGCTTTTTGTTGTTAAAATGGTTGAAAGTTAGGAGGTTATGCATGGACTTGAGCAGACTGGACGGAAAGACTGTCCTCATCACAGGTAAACCCGTTAAAAATCGGTGCTTGAAATTCTCCATCGTGACCTCCCTTTCTAACGTCTTAAATGTATGTCAGTGATTCCAGTATTTAAGGTTGCAAGAGCACAGTACTGATATCTTTAATACAGCCGGTAAAACTAGCGTGGTGGCATCTACAGAGTTAGCTGTCATGAAAGCTTGATATAAAACGTGCAGTTAAAGCAAATGACAGCTCGGCACCTGTAATTGGCTCAAAGTAATGGTGACGGTGCCGTAATGTAATCATGCCGTTGATGTGGAGATGGAGTAGAACAGCATAATAACAGATAGAGAGACCTGACGACCAGCTGTCATCTCCCTTGCCAGATGCTACATCTCTTTAATCTTCTCCACCTCTCAGGAGGAAACTCGGGAATCGGCAAGGAAACGGCCGTGGCTTTGGCCTTGCGAGGGGCGCGGGTGATCATAGCATGCCGGGACCCCGAGAGGGCAGCGAAGGCCGTCAGGGAGATCAAGATGAGAAGCCATAACATGAACGTGCTCCACATGCACCTGGATCTGGCTAACCTGAGGGCCATACGGGAGTTCTGCAAGGCTTTCTTACAGAAGGAGAAGAGGCTCGACATCTTGATCAACAATGCAGGTCAGACATCTGAAGACTTTAAGGCAACCATTGATGCTCTTTATGGTAGTCTAGATCAGCAGTGTCATTCCTGACATATGGAAAGAGCAGCTATGCCTTTGCTGGGGGGGTCTGATGGACATGTCCCACATAATTTAAACTAATTAGTGTACTTATTAATATAATTATATTTTGAGGGAGGGGGGGGGGGTAAAGAACATTTTAACCCCAGTGACGCCCCTGGTCTATATCATAGAAATATTAATCCAAAGTTATGGAACATAAACACAGTATGTCACCTTCATGTCACTTTTAAGGTCTTCTGCATAAAAATATTAATCCAAAGTGATTGCTGTTAATATGAAATAATCTCAGAAAATTGGCTGGATTTTTTTTTTACTCACGGCATTTAAGGACGTCGTGCAAGTAGGCAATAACACTGCTGTTTCCGGAACCTCCACCTTGATAGCTCACATCCATTAGCATCGACATTCCCTCTTTAATATTAAGCACGTGACTAGTAAGCCCCTCCCATTTCACTTCCCTCCAGGAATGCCCAGCGTCCTTGACTGGACAGATGACAATTTCAGCATGTGTTTTGGAGTGAATCACCTCGGACACTTCCTGCTGACCAATCTGCTGCTCGGCCGGCTGAAGGAGAGCGCCCCCAGCAGGATCATCACCCTAACCTGCTCCAACTACAAGTATCAAAAGCTGGACTTCCAGGACCTCAACTACAACCTGCTGCCCTTCTTCACGTACTGCCGCAGCAAGTTGGCCAACATCTACTTCACCCAGGAGCTGGCACGACTCATGGAGGGCAAAGGCGTGACGGCCTATTCCGTGCATCCTGGTGAGTGGCAACAACAACAACAACAAGAACAACAACAACAACAAATTAATTTTTGTGTAGCGCATTATCACAACATTACATTGTCCCAAAGCGCTTTACAGCATCCCCACCCAAAGCCCCCAGTGAGTAAGCCATAGGCGACAGTGGCAAGGAAAAACTCCCTAGAAGGAAGAAACCTTGGGAGGGACCAGACTCAAAGGGGGAGCCCATCCTCCAGGGGCCGGCAGGGAGAGTCAAATACAGTTAAATCTGAAACACAAACGGGGAGCAGGGGGGAGATGACAAGCCGGTGCCACCACTCCCTCCAATCGCCAGGCAGCCAGAAGGCAGGGAGCGGGTCATACAAGGAAGATGACACAGGCAGAACGGCGAGCTGGATGCACGGACGTCATTGGTAGTGGCAACGTCACATGTTGCAGGGTGTGCTGGACATCTTGATAGATTGAGGGCTCCAGGCAGCTCCCCCCAGGAGAAGGTGGTGGAAATAAATGCAATTAGTCAAAGTAAGGGAGACTATAGGCAGTGCTAAAAGTTAGATGAGTGCAATATGAAGTGCAATGCTCCGGCAGATATGGCTAATGCAGCATAAGTAGGAGGGAGAGGCAGGTGGGAATGCAGGCATGGGGAGTCCCTGAAATGTCAGCACTCCAATCCCACAAGCAATTGTGAAGCTAGAGTGACAGCACTGTCAATTCAGTTTATCCAAAGCCAATGGCACCGATCCCCACCCAGCTCTACACCTCACACTATAGGTTTAACTGGGAGTGAGAAGCTAGCTAGAGCTAGAACTAGTGTCCCTATAAGCTAAACTAAACAGGTGTGTTTTTAGTCTAGACTTGAATATTGAAAGTGAGCCTGAAACCCGCACATCCGGTGGAAGACCGTCCGTGGCACCACAGCAGAAAGATCTTACTGCATTCTAATATTCACCAGTAGGGGCGCAACAGATCACAAAACTCACAGTTCGGATCGTATCACGGTATTGAGTCACGGATCGGATCATTTTACAGTTCAGGAAAAAAAATCAGAACCCCAATATAACTTTGTCTTTCCATGTATTACTTAAAGAATTTAAAGAACTTAAAGGACGGGCAGGTGCAGAAAATGGATGGTCGGGTGGAATTTGCTCACCGTGAGTTTTCGTTAGATAATGCCCCCAGGGGGTCTCTCATAAAAGGCCAAGTACATGTATAATATCTACTGACTAATAAACAGAAACATAACAAGTTTAGATCATAAAGTTTAAATGAGATGGTCTTGGCAGCACAGTTTGTTATGATCTCTCTTCACCTTCATCATCCTCAATGTCTCGCTGGTTTCCCCACGAAGGTCACGGTGGCAGCATGGAGACCACCTGGCTCTCCTCTTGGTCCATGGCCGTCGAGCCTCATTCTGGGGAATCTCCAGGTGTTCCCAGGCCAGCTGGGCGATAAACTCCCTCCAGCAATAGACTATTGCGAATAGGCAAGAAATCCCGAATGCTAAATGCTAAATGCTAGCAAGCGTCCATCAAAACTGGCCGTGAGGATTTATTCAGACTGATGTTTCATCTAGTCAAAATAAGCACCTACCTCTACTCAGAAAACAGTTTGGCTGTCGGTTTTAGCTTGTATCCTCCGATGAGTCATTAGGAATGAACGGGACAGGTGTTGGCTGACCATGCGGTTTGTGTAAGGAGCTTCGGCCAAAGCTGCTGGACAGCGGCTCCATGGTGGATGTTTGTTTACAACAGCTGCCAAAGTGGTTTTCTTGGGAAGGTGCAGATGAACAAGGCACTCATGTGGACGGCAGCGCTGCTGTCCTGGCCTTGTCGTGCAAAGTGTCGCTCCTGATGGTACGTGGTGTGCAGACCGTTGCCTCTCTCTCTCGTTTTTGATCCAGGGTACGTGAGCAGCGCTTGGACATGCCACTATTCCATCCTCTTCCGGATGCTGATGCAAGTGGTCATGTTCATGTTCTTCGTGCCCTGCGAGCTGGGCGCTCAGACGGTGGTGCACTGCGCCGTGGCGGACGGCGTGACGCAGCACAGCGGCTGCTACTTCAGCGACTGCCGGCCCGCGGCCCTGCGGCCCTTCGCCAAGGACCCCAGCGTGGCCAAGAAGCTGTGGGAGGCCAGCGAGAGGCTGGTGGGGTTACCTTGACAACCCTGATCATCTTCTCTTCAGTCTTAGCCAATATTTATTTAATGAGCTTGATCATTTAAAGATTGATTTCCAAAGGCTTTACAGTTAAAGGACATTCAGGTTTTAATGTTGTGAAAGAAACTGAAATGGTTGCCGATGTAAAAAGAAAATATTTATTGTGCTATGCATTAGACTCTGGTTTAGTTGGTGTCTGCATATTTTGTTCTTGAATCTATTACAACTGATAAAACCTTTTCTGTGGTCATTAAGGGAAGAAAGTTCACATTTTCAGTTGTCAAAACCTATTTCTTAATAAATGTTCTACGAGGAACTTCATAAAATTGTCAGTGGCGGGATGGGGGGGGGCGCCGTCCCGTGTCCGGGGTGGGGGGGGGCGCCGTCCCGTGTCCGGGGTGTGGGGGGGCGCCGTCCCGTGTCTGGGGTGTGGGGGGCTATCTGCTGCAGATGGTGAATAGTCACCACAGAGGCGCTTTAGAAATGCAGACAGTACCTCATCTCATGCAATTACAGTGAAACCCCAGGGAACAGAACTAATCCACTATCGTCCAATTGAGCTAATCCTTCTTGTGACTGTTGTGATGAAGGGTTTGTAATACACATCCCTCAGCAGCCACCTACATTATACTTTGTATTTACAGAAGGGGTCCCACTATTCTGACTGGCAGCTGTATGTTTTACTGATAATATTTCCTTAGGAACCACTTTTCGTCAGAATAACCAGTCCCAGCTGGCATTTAACATGTCTGCTCTTTTATATAACCAAGCATTTCCTTTTTTTCACTGGAGCAGGAGTAGTACATAAATAGACATGAAAGAAGTCCACATTAAATGCATGTCTGTAATGAACGATCTGTTTGGGTTCTTAATCCACCTCATTGGACTGAATAGAAGCAGTGAGCGTTGCATTTCCCACTATGTCCACTGGATGGCAGGCGAGATGCACACAAACAGACAGTGTGGGGTTTATAAGGGCATTTAAACCTGCAAGCACATATTCCATCTTTAACAGACTTCTATAAAACCTTCCATGCTCTGTGGAAATTCCTGGGTTTAAAATGGCCAAAACTGCTTCAGCAAGGAGCTGTGCACGACTATTAAAAGGGCAGGACGCACAGGAAATGACTGTTTCACATCTCATTGCACAAATAATTATAATAAATAGTTCTTGTGCACTGCCCTTGTCATCCTGCTGGATGAATGCCCTGTCCTCTCACTGTATTAACCCTCTCTATGGGGTTTATATGTAAGTGCACCTGCATGACCTATGATGACCTACTGAAAGACATTTCAATTTTTCTTCCCACATGAGTCAACGAGAAATAAACATATATAATGTGATCTCAGTGGTTTATGTTCCTCCCTTTGATTCAAGGTGGAAGCACAAATGTGGGTCCGACCGGATCAGTCATCAAGCTCCTATGGGGTTCTTTGAAATTCTGCCATCAGTTGCACTCCCATCACACCTTCCGCCTTTATGATTTTCCCTGGTGAGAGTCTCCTGTCGCTAATGTACGGCTGTAAATGTTTCATAAACTTGCCTTTACAAAAATCATGGTTGTAGCTGGATGGAAAACGCTGAAGGAAGTTTTAATGGGGGTGAAGTTTCTGCTTTTCCTCCGCGGTTGATAATTAGCAGAGAATATTAGATGGAATGAGCATCAATGCTGGGTTTGTGTTCGCGTCTTATTGCGTGGAAAGTTCAGATTCAGAAAACACAAATCCAGACCAAGTTTTTGTTCCAACCAACCAGTTGCATACTCTGTCACTGTGACTCTTTATGCGCAGCTGGTTGGTTGAAACAAAATCTTGTCCTGGATTTCTACTTTCTGGACCCGGAACTTTCCACCGCTGCGTATGATACGGCATGAAGAACATTGCAGAAATTGTAAAAGAAATAACTAGTAACTGTGGCATCCATTGGAAGGGGTGGGGGAAGCACTTCATGCTAAAAGCACTTTTAAGGGGAGCCTGTGATTCCTTATACCGTTTTCATGCCAGCAGCTGTGATTTAAGGAGCTCGGTGAGTCACACGGGACCGGGAGCGAGTCTCTGCTTTCCAGCCTCAGATCTGAAGTGACAGAAAAGCGCTGGAGGCTCAGATGACTGGCAGCTGAGACACGTCCCGTCCGGTCGAACCCCCTGTACGCCTCAGCGTCATGCTGGGTCTCCAGAGAGCTGATCTAGAAGCGACCCCACGCTGCATTAAGCAGATGATTTCGGTATAATAAATGCATGCTTTGTAATGCAACCTGGGAAGGGTGGATTTTTACAACAGCTCTAGGTATGGAAGCCTTTATTCTGAAAGCGTAAACGCCACGCAGTGCCTTCTCCATTCATGCACGTAGACCCACGGTCCCACCGCTATCCAATCCCCAGCTCTGCCACAGTTTGTTACTTATTGCCACATTCTTGGTGAGAGATTGGAAAAGACCCCTTGTTTTTTCAGTATTTGTAGAAGTTTGAATGAATGTAGTGGAAGGTGACTTAAGGAGTTAGCTCAGATGATTTCTTTGTATTTTTTTTTTTGGGGGGGGTATGTTAAACTTTTCCTTTGATGCCACACAATTTCAACTTTCAAATCTATGTACTGAGACTCTGCTGCAGGGCTTCAGCCTTGTCTCTGGCATGTTTCTCGATGTGCTGAATAAGAATAAACTAACAGAAAATACCAAATAAATATATACATGGCGCCCAGACATGCCCCTACAGACCTTAAGAATCCATCCAAATTGTCGACCCAGCAGTACTTTAAAAATCTCACTACTAGGATACGAATGTTTTCAAAGGCTGTTGCCGAATTTTTAAACCCCAAATCGAATAGTTTTTTTGGGGTTTCCTGTAGGACATCTCCGGGAGCGTATCTGTGTCAGTGATGCATTTTTGATATGACCTCAAAAACAGCAATTAACTACCATTTTTTTTTTCTCTTGAGGGCAGGGGGCTGCATGAACTATTGGAATATATTATTTGCTGGGAGCTGGGTCAGTTTGCTAATGACGGTGCTGCAGATGAATAACTGATATGGACACATGCAGAAAACACCTTGAATTTAACACCCCCCCCCCCCCCCCCCCCCCCCCCCCCCCCGAAGGCTGAACTGATGACCGCAAATCAACACCTAAAGCATAACTGGACTGTGAAAGAAGCAAAGCCAGGTGAAGGCGGGCATGTGCCAGGGAATCCCTCCCCCCACATCCCGCAGACAGGGCCGTCTGTGACTGAATGGTGCCCCTTCAGGCAAAACAATAATACAGTCTGTCTTCTTGGCTTCCCGTGTGCTGTTGCTGAATTAGCAAGAACATCCGGCCCCCTGGGATGTTTTTTTCCCGTGACATTAAAAAAGTACAATGACAACAATATATGTATTCTAGCAAAAATGCATCCTGAAATGACTACAATTCATGTCACACGTAAAACTGCTGTTTCCATAGGTTCCCAGCACGATTCCAGTATGGAGTTAGACTGGGTTAGACCATTCAGTTTCATTTTCGTAAGCCATCCCAGTAGGTACTTGGCCTTGCTGTCCTTCCTGAAGGTAAATGGTAAAGCTTTAAATATTTATCAGTCTGAAATGGGATTTTTGCCACAACCCTGTACTGGATAAGTGGCTACAGAAGATAGCTGGATGACACATGATTTCTCCTAAGGTTATTTCCCTTTTCCTCCAGTCCTAAGAAAGCCCTGTCGGGTTAGCAGAACCCCAAGAGTGTGATGCGGTCATCACCATGGCTACCCGTGTGATGCGGTCATCGCCATGGCTACCAGTTTGCATCACGCCGACAAAGTGATGACAAGATGCCCGCAGCGTCACGCTGTCATCACCTTGGCTGCCTGTAGGGATCATGGTGACTGAGTGATGGCAGGATCCCCAGAGTGTGAGGCTCCCGTCACCATGGGCGCCATTAGGGATCATCTCTACCTCACCGTGAATTACCCTAGGGGTCGCCCTCCCAGCATGGTGCGGTGTCACTGTAGCTGAATGTGGGGATGTTCTGAGTGATGACAGTCCTATACTGCAGTGGTGTTGTCACCGTGCTGGATTGTAGATGAAGCCACAGAGACTCTGCTCAATGACGTCCCTACGCATTCCTACCCTGAAGTATCCTTTTGCTCTCATTTGCCCACGTTTTTCACGATCACAAACGGCGCTCTTTGTCAGGGATGTGGAGGGGCTGGGCACATCCCCCTTCTGTCCAAATGATTGAAAGTGCATCACCTTTGAGGTCTTGACCGATGGTCATTTAACACCTCCTCCTTAAAAGGTCTCAGCATGGAACTGCTCTTTGTTCCAAACTCCTAGCAGGTTTTTATAAATCGTTCTGCCTTCTAACCACAAACAGGACTAACTGACTGAACCCTGATATGCATTAAATTATAGTGATTTTTGGCACCAAACAGCTTGAATACTTGATGTGCGAATGAATACGTTCTATTTTTCTTTCATAGGAGCTACTTTTTGCAATTTACTTTGTAATGTCTTTGATCTGTTTACACTATTAAACAGCAGCTGTGAAGTGGTGTCTTTTGATGCAGATGAATTCTCTCCTTATCACAGGAGTGAGTTTGAAGCTTGTCTGACCTTGTGAACTTCCCACTGGCCAGTTCTAAAGGGGTCAGAGATGCAACCTGTGCCACACAGGTGTCAGTGAATAGCTGACCTACCAAACAATTAAAATAGCTTTATTACAGATTTACTTGGAAGAAAATTAGTGCTGAATCACTCTCCTTGGTGTACTTTTAATAGGAAGTTTGAAGAAAGGCTAGAATTAAAGAACTAAAGACGCCTTCTGTCCTCAGTGTAGAAATATATTTCAGTCATAAACTATGCGTGTATATTTAATTCAGGAACTCTGTGTATGAAAACCTTATTTGACAACAAATTGTACAATCATACGAACAGATTAATATCCACAACTGTAACAACAAATGCAAATTAGACCCATTCATTTCAGTTCTTGATTAGAAATTTATTTATTTACCCTGCCCAGTGTAACACAGACTCGTAACGATTTCATCTCGCTATCATCTCGCTCTGATTTTTCAGAGACCCTGAAGAAGGACATTTTCCTACACAACTGAGCACTGTTGCGGATCCAGTTAATCTTTTCTCATAAAATGCTTATAATCCTCTTGAATTGAAATGGGATTAATTACCATTAATTAGCCTCAATGAGGCCATGAGAGACGCTAATCCCGTTTGTTCTGCTGGAACTGACGAGGCAAGAATTTCTCGACAAGTGGAACTATTCATGTTGAAAAGGGAATGAATGTTCTCCATCGTCGTGTTACACTACAAGGGGAAAATACCCCCCGGT